AATCAAACATGCAGAGCTTACCTTTGTAAAAAAATGATTTGATGCCATTGTTCCCTAGATTTTAAAGCTATATTTATATTTTAAAACTACTTCACTAGTTTTTCTTATTATCAGTAGACAAGTTAGAAAATTTCTTACCATTTTGTGATTTATTTATGAGTCATTAAAATATCCAGTTTAATTTTCTCTAGTGAGGATATTTCTTCCCAAATCATGTACCCCTCCTGGTTTTTCTACTACACAGTCATTGCTTATAACGTGATCAGCTAGTTTGTTTTATTTACTCTTAATACTAATCTCAGCACTTGAAATTAGTTTTGGTTTTTGTGCATCTTACCTTCTCCAGTTTACATTTGTCCAGCTAATAATAATATCTACGAAAGTAGATTTGAGGGCAAAGATAAAGAACCTCATGAAATGATGATACATTAACAACTATTCATGTTTCTTTAGTATTATCAGAGCCTCAAAATACGCACACACATAAACTATTAGAATTTTGAAGAGAATTAATAATTACAGTCAATGTGCCACCATGCCCAGCCTAAATTTAGGCAGGTCTTGGTATACACTCTGTCTTTTAATACACTTTTATAAACCAGTAGCCTTTTTGCCAGGAAGCATTGAAAGAACTTGGCCTGTGTTTCTGTGACTGTAAGTCTCTAATTCATATGTGGTTAAGTTTATGAGGACAGTAGATACCTTGTAAGGAAGCTTGCAACTGCTTCTGGTTTTGACTATTCCCTAGACACAGTTTTTATAGCAAAGCAAGTGTGTAAAGGTTATACTCTCCTACAGTTCTTGTATAAGTGATTGCTTGATGTTCTTAGTAGTGCTGCAGATTCATTATTCTGAAGCCCAGAATAATTAAAACTTAGAATGACCTTTTTCAGAATGCTTACAAATCTTTTTTTGGTTTTTCTTTCTGACCAAGCCTAGTTAACTTTGTGATTATTATCCTCATTTCAGCTGTTACTGTTACAGAGCAGGAGTTTGGAATGTATTTCTGTGTCCCTTCATCTAGATAGTAGCATTGATTGTTTGTCATCAGATTGTACTTGGGACTCAAGTCCGGGTATTACATTCCTGTGCAATAATAGTAGTATAAACAGGAGAGCTACCTTTCTTTCTTCTGGTGCTGTGGACACAAACCTGAAAGAATCCTACCTTGGTTATTTGGTTTCACTCAAGGTGCAAAACAAGGTAGCCAATATTGAGATGATTTCATTTGTTTCTTTGTGTGCACAGGAGTCTGAGGTCATGTGTACAAAAGTCACATTATCCAATAAGAAAAAGTTGTGACTCCAGTCAATATCCCCAGTAGATTATTCTTTACAATCAAAACAAACAAACAAACATCTAACTCCCTGCTTAAACAAAGTCAGTTGTGTTGCCAATTTACCCAAGTTTACTGTCCTCCTAAGCATGTTGTAGGTTCCCTTAATTTTTTTTTTTGTTTTGTTTTGCTTTCTTTGTTTTTTCAAGACAGGGTTTCTCTGTGTAACAGCCTAGATGTCCAGAAACTCAATTTATTTTATTTTATTAGATTTAATTTATATGTGTATGAATATTTTGCCTGCATGTATGTATGTGTACCATATGTGTGCCTGGTGTCCACAAAGGTCAGAAGAAGAGGACATCAAATCCCCTGGAACTGGAGTCTGTGGGTGGTTATGAGCCACCATGTGAGTGCTAGGAACTGAACCCAGGTCCTCTGTAAGAGCAGCAAGTGCTCTTACCAATTTCAACATCTCTCATTTCCTCATTTATTTCTTGACCTATGATTATGTACTGGTTACTTTTTGTGAACTTGCATTAGTTACAGTCATTTGGAAAGAGGGAACCTCAGTTGGGAAGTTGAGAAAATGCCTCCATAAAATCTGCTTGTAGGCAAGCCTGGGGGCATGTTTTTGATTATTGGTTGATGTTAGAAGGCCCAATCTACTGTGCCATCCCTAGGGTTGTATAAGAAGGCGGGCTTGGCAAGCCATTCGTGATAAGCCAGTAAACAGCATTCCTCCATGGCTTTTGCTTGACTCCTTCAGTGGATTGTGACCTGGGACATGTAAGCTAAATAAACCATTTCCCCCCAAGTTCCTTTGGATCAGTGTTTTATCACAGCAATAGAAAGCAAACAAGGGACAGAGTAATAACATTTTTACAGTTCAGTTAAAAAAAAAAAAAAACCACTATGAAAGAAAAGGACTATTTTTCCAGCTCCCAAGGTGTTATTATTGGGCTTGTAGTCTGACCAGACAGCCCTCTTAGTATTCATTAATAGTCATATTTTCTTCAATACTAGGTGTGATATTAAAAAGCACCATAAAACAAAAGGCCAAGTTCTGTCATTCACAAGCTTTGTCATAATCCAAGCATTCTACTTCTTTGTCTCTTTTTTCCTTTTGGTTGACTGTGAATAACAGTACCTGCCTTGGCAAGCTTTTGGATTTGTTTACGTACATGATAGCTCATTATAAACTGTAACATGCTAAGTAATTAAGATAATGATGGTGACAGTGTTGATTACCAGAAAGCCTAATAGAAGATCATGTAGATAAATTGGAGCTGTCAGTTTTTGTAGTGGGATCTAATTTAGTAGTTAATTATTGATACATCTAATTTGGAGTTATGGCATTTTCAGTTATTTCTACCCTTATTGTAGTGAATACTAATCATTGCTTTTAAGATTTCATGGTGGATGCCACATTTTTTTTTTTTGGAGACAGGGTTTCTTTGTAGCTCTGTATAGACCAGGTTGACCTGCCTGCCTCTGCCTCCTGAGTGCTGGGATTAAAGGTGTGTGCCACCACGCCCAGCTCATAGAGACAACAATTGAAACTAGACACTGAAAATAGTTAATGATCTCAAAAGGAGGAAAGATAATGGCTAGAAAAAGAGGTATTCCTGCTTGGCACAGTGACACTTGGCTTAGGAGGTAACCGCATTGGAGGGTCACCAAGTTTCAGGCAAAACAGGGCTATAACTGTCTCAATCAAATATAATAAAGGGGGATTCCAGATGGTATGAAAAGTGTTAGGGGGTATAGCTCTGTGGTAGTACTTTTCTAGTACATACAAGCCCTAATTTTATTCCCATAAACAAAGCATAAACAAGATATATTACTATTGTAGCATGTATTTTGATTTGGAAGGAATGCAATTAGGTGGGATACCTTAGTTAATGCTGGCTTTAGGCAGACTACCTACTGAAAACTGTTTAAAGTTAGTGCTTGATTTTTAAAGGGAGGAAGAAGCTACTGGAAACAGTTTAAAAGGGACTTTATAATACAGAAAAGGTTCCTGTTTTGGATAATTGGCTGGCTCGTTATATTAAGACACATAGCCATTAAATGCTATGACTCAAAACCAAAATGCTAAAGATAAGGAACTTCGATGGATAAGGAATAGAATGTTAGAATGTGCATTAATTTGGGCATCTTTGAGCACGTCCTCTTTTATTCCGGCCTGCAAATAAAGGAATAAATAGTTCCTAAATTCCATTTTACTTTAATTTTCTATAATTACACATAGTATACCTCTCTTGGCCACAGTTTGACTTTCTAAGATTTTCTTCAGACAAGAAGTCCAAACTATACTAATGGAAAATTCCTAGTGATAAATTGTTGATAAGTTGTTTTGAGATGGTTCCCCAAGGCTGGCTTCAAACTGAAGAGCTGCTTATTGGGATTACATAGGTATGAGCCACTTACTCAGCTCATAAGTTTCAAATTGTATGGTTTTCTAAGGAAATACAACCCTGGGACTTGATTCATCTCTCTATCCAGTATATCCATGATATATATGTATTCTCATGGTGTTTGTCAGTAGTTGTCTGGTTATCTGAAGATCATCTGTCAACACATCATAGTTGAAACTTGTATTCAATTTATCTTTATTTTACCTAATGCTTTCAAAGTGTGAGACTAGTGATGCAGCAATTTAGGATATACCAAAGCAAGCAGTAAAGTGTTTCTTGTAAGTGGAAAGGGAAAGTTCTCAAAGGAGAAGGAGAATAATTATGTGCTGAGAGTTATAGAAAATTGTTACTGTTGACATTAATCCCTAATATGCCTAATTTATAGATTAAATGTTATCATAGATATGCTTGTATAAGGAATACCAACCCCCACTCCACCCCCATAAATAGAGTTTGGTATTATCTGTGGTTTCAGACATCTACTAGATCCAAGGTGGGCAACTCTGGTAATTCAAAAGAGCAGAATCCTTGTGATTTTGTTTAGTAGCCTAATGATGGTGGATATTAAGCAGCTACCATTCCTTAGAGCCTTTTGAAAACTAGTTGCTGCCGGGTGGTGGTGGTGGCGGCGGCGGCGGCGGCGGTGCACGCCTTTAATCCCAGCACTTGGGAGGCAGAGGCAGGTGGATCTCTGAGTTTGAGGCCAGCCTGGGCTCGAGAGCGAGTTCCAGGACAGGCTACATAGAGAAACCCTGTCTCGAAAAAAAGGAAAAGAAAAAAAAAAGAAAGAAAGAAAGAAAGAAAGAAAGAAAGAAAGAAAGAAAGAAAGAAAGAAAACTAGTT